GAGCTGAGATTGCGCCACTGCACTCCAGCCTGGGCAACAGAGCGAGACTCCGTCTCCAAAAAAAAAAAAAAAAAAAAAAAATTAAACATAGGGGCCGGGCGCGGTGGCTCACGCCTGTAATCTCAGCACTTGGGAGGCCGAGGTGGGTGGATCATGAGGTCAGATCGAGAACATCCTGTGCCACTGTACTCCGGCCTGGGTGACAGAGTGAGACTCCATCTCAAAAAAAAAAAAATTAAACATAGGGAGCATTATTGGTGTCCGAGTCAAAGGCAATAGCAGTCCCCTGCCCCGGGGTCAGATCCACAGCCGGCAAATTATGGGTAGTGTGGTGTGCACCTGAAAACAAATGCTGGCAAATCAGAGCCCGCCCAGGGCAGGAGACAAGCTAGGGATGGCGGAAGGGAAGTGTCCTGGGAGAAAGGGCCATGACCATGGGTGTCCCCTGGAAGGGGAGGGGACAGTGGGAGAAAGGTTCACCAGGGACAGCTGAGAAACGTTCACAGAGCTGCTTTGCCAGAGGCAGATGAGCCACCCCATGTGCTCCCTGGTAGGAGTTATAGAAGGCAGATCTCAGCTGCTCAGAGAAAGAACATTCTAACCCAGGATGTGGTCAAGTGCGCGATCAGCGTGGCCTGCAATGAGCCACGTCTCCTGGAAGTGTCCAGCGGAGGGAGGCCACTGCTGGGGGTGGGGGCTGGCCTGCGATACTCCTCTGGTCCTTTATAGAAAGGACCCCTCCTCTGTACCCAGTGCCCTCATTGCCATCATTTCATGCTGCTAAGCACAAAGTGTAGATCAAATCCTTCCCAACAGTCTCCTGATCTCAACAGACAGCGCCAACATCTGGGGAAGGAAAGCAACGGTGCTAGGCGCACCTGGAAACTGCCCTGCACCGCTGGGTCCCCAGGTTTCTGTGGGGCGGCTGTAAAGGGGGCTGCTCTCTCTTTCTTTCTCGGGCTGTAGGTGCACCAGGCCGTCCAGGGAGCCCGGGCCTGCCGGGTATGCCAGGCCGCAGCGTCAGCATCGGCTACCTCCTGGTAAAGCACAGCCAGACGGACCAGGAGCCCATGTGCCCGGTGGGCATGAACAAGCTCTGGAGTGGGTACAGCCTGCTGTACTTTGAGGGCCAGGAGAAGGCACACAACCAGGACCTGGGTAGGTCCCTCCCACCTGGCCCCCATGATCTGCTCAGGGCTGGCCTGGAAGTGGCTAAGGTCAAAGGGCCACAGCGAGACTCCCAAACCCTTCACGGCTGATAAGTGCCCCTGATGAAGGGTCCGCCCACATTCCTGGAAGTGCAGAAAGATTAAAAAGGCCTTTGAAGCAGAAGCCTTACAAAGCCCTTAAACCTCAGGACCTTAACACAGGGACCTGCCTTTTAACTTGGTATCGACTTCCGCAGGCTCCCATGTGACCCATCTGACCCTTGACCCCTCTCCAGTGGAGACCACCAATTACTTCACCTCCTTCTTGCTTTTTGACCCAAGTTCTGTAGACTTGGAGTCAGGCAGGGGCCATAAGGTGCTGGGGTTCATATAAGACTCTCCCATACAGGACCCCAGGAAAATGGACCCGTGGACACGTGTGCACGCTCTTATTCAAAGGAAGCCTTTAAAAGGCATTAATGTGACTTTGAATACAGAAAACGCAACACACACAAATTACAAGTGAAGGTGGCTTAGTCTGAGGTCCCCTTTGAGGGGGTGACGGGAAGGGTCTCCGGGACTCTGGCTGTGTTCTGCCTCCTCAGTGCAGGCTACACCAGGCGTTCTGCCCCCGGAAAGCGTGGAGCTGGCTCATGGCGCCAGCACGTTCCTGCCTGTGCGCCCCACTTCCACAATGAGTTTCTAAAGAACAGTGAGGCAAAGGCCGCCGAGGATAAGGGCCTAGAATAGATCTGGGAACAGGGCCAAGGAGGCAGGCCCAGCCCAGGCATGTTTGCTCAAGGTGGCTGCACCTCTGGGTCTGAGCTTTTCCGTAGCCCCTGTGAAGACGGAAACCTGCTTAGCCGCATCATTCACCGTGGCCAGGAGATAAAGGCTGTCTTCGTCTCTGGAAGCAATAAGGCTACATGGAAGGGGGAGGGGCCAGGGCTCCTTCTGGGTGGCTCCTTGGGGTCAAAGAGCAACCCCTTGGAGTGCCATCGGAGTTTTCTTGGGGCCAGTGCTGTTAAGACCCCACTAAGGTAAGGCTCACCCAAAATGCTATTCCATGAAGACACCACTCCCTGCTGATGCAACTTGGCCCAGTATGTGTGAGAACTTGTAGAAGAACAGAGCTGTTCTGAAATGCCAGTGTAGTCTGTTTGATCAAAAAGAGAAAAAGAAAGAAATTGGGAAGCCTTAGCCTGGCCCTCCAGTGGGTGGCTGAACTCCACCAGGTGTCCTGGGGCAAGTCTGTGACACAGAGCCTCCTGGGCCTGGCCGGGGCTGGCAGGTGCGTCTTCTAGCCACACGACACTGTGCTCTCGTGACCCCTCCTTCCGCAGGGCTGGCGGGCTCCTGCCTGGCGCGGTTCAGCACCATGCCCTTCCTGTACTGCAACCCTGGTGATGTCTGCTACTATGCCAGCCGGAACGACAAGTCCTACTGGCTGTCCACCACGGCTCCGCTGCCCATGATGCCTGTGGCCGAGGATGAGATCAAGCCCTACATCAGCCGCTGCTCTGTGTGTGAGGCCCCAGCCGTCGCCATCGCCGTCCACAGTCAGGATGTCTCCATTCCACACTGCCCAGCGGGGTGGCGGAGCTTGTGGATCGGATATTCCTTCCTCATGGTACGTGGCATTTACCCAGTTCCCCTCCCCAGCCACACCCTGGCTGGGGACACGGCAGGAACCGCTGCCTTTGTAAGAATAATCAGACAGGGCAGTTCCGGGTGTGCACTGCACGAGGGCACTTGGCCCAGGGAGAGAGAGAGAGCTGGAATACAGCTTACACTTTGCTAACTGAGCCACATGCTGGGCACAGGGCTTCCCCCACCCAGAAAGGGCTCATTAATTTGCCACCAGGCCTTCGTAAGGAGTGTAACCAGGATGAATTTGCCTGTCATCCGTCTTAGTAGTATAACACCAACACCAAAGGTACAGCTGCTTTGGGTTTACCAGAAGTCTAAATATATGGAAGACTTTTCTCCAGAATCCTGATCTTATTTAGAATCTATCTGGAACCTTAAATACCTTCAAGAAATACCTATTAACTGCCTGGCTTAAAATGGATATACATTCATGAGGAAAATTCTGGAATACCTTTGGGTATAAAACAGAGAGCCTGTGTACTTTGAAATCCAGGAGAAAGTGCACAACCAGGACCTGGGAAGGTGCCGCCCACCCTGCCAGTTTGCCTTTGGGTATGAAACAGAGAACCCTCAGGTTTGGCCAGATCAGGTTTAGCTTCATCTCCAGGGAAGAGACCACAGCACCATAGTGTCTCTTGCAATATTACCTCTTAAAGCAGAGGCTCCTCAACTTGGAGTAGGGTCCCGTCCAGGCACATTCATTGTAAGATGAAGATATCGTTAAGTTGAAAGTGCATTCTCAATTTATGATGGGTTTATCTGGATGTAGCCCCACCAGAAATCCAATAGTGAATTGAATACATATTGCTTTGGCACCGTCGAAAAGTCAAAACTCATTGAAGTCTTAACCATGGTAAGTCGGGGACCATCTGTATACTATTGTAGGGAGAAAAGAGATTCTTGCTGAGCACAGTGGGTCTTCCATTGAGTTTATTTATAGGGATTATAACTGTCATAACTCCAACTACATGGATCGGATGCCCAGCATGTTAAATATTTCACAAATTATATATATATACAACATAAAGTATAAATTACATAATGATTGCTAATCTTTCAAAACAACAGGAAAAAAAATCCAGATTCTAGGAAAGGAAGGAAAAGACAAACAGTATTGGCATTTTAACAAGTATTGTTGCTGTGATAAGTTGGAGCAACAGGATACTAAATCCTGGGCAGGGACAGGCACAGCCTCTACCTTTCCAGAAGCATATCATGGAAGGTGACTTTGGAGCAACCTTCTTTTGTTTCACAGTGACCTTCGGGGTGCCCCTGTGTCATGGAGGAAGTAAGCTTTGGTTGCTCCTATTTTTTTAACTTCCATTGTTAAATTCAAAATAAATGAGCCTCTCGCTTGTGAAGGGCATGATTACACAGTATCCAAAAAGGTCAGGCATCCCCTGTTCCATTAGCAATCAGCTTTCAAATTACTGTCACGAGATAAGCAGGCATTATCCTCTGCACACATAACTCTCTGCTTAAATAAATGGCTGACAGCCTCAGCAAGCCTGGAACTTGACATCCCCAAAAGCCATGGGTTGACAGATGCATGGGGTCAGAACAGATGGGCCAGAAGTACCTTGACTTCTGAGAACAACAGAAAGTCCCCACTGGCCCTGACGATGGATAAGTGAGCAGACACATCTGTGTACTGGAGATGTGCCCCCTCCAGATGTGTCCTCACGGCTGTCTAGGAGACAGGACCTAAACCAAGACAGCTGTGTGCCTCGTCTGTGCTTTAAATACTCTTTGATCCCTTCCGTGTGGTGACAAGCGTATGGTGCCGCTAGGGCTGCTGGCATCTCAGCATAATGAGAGCTGACTTTGGAGAGGACAGCTCGGCTGAGAGCAACTGCCCCACTGTCCCCAGTGGATGCACAGAAGGCGAGAACAGTGCTGAGGCTAGCACCCGGCTCACCCTTCTTTTGTCCATGAGGATAGGTGGCCCCAGAGGATGCATTTTCTGCATTCCCTACAAGCGAGCACCATGTGGGAGGGAGGACAAGGGCAGAGCCCCGGATGCAGACTGCAGCAGCAAAAGTCATTTTCCTCCCCTCCCCTCGGTGGCCTCTCTCAAAGCCGTTCTGGTGGAGGCTACAGTATCTAGCTGGCCGTTATTTTAGTTCCTCTTTTTTCAATTCTGGCTACAATCTGGAACCCTCACAGTCCCTTCTCCAGGTCAGCCTCTCATCCAGGCAGTTCTCTTAAGATTTATGAGCTGCTGTGAGTACCAAAGCCAGAGGCTTGCCCACTGAGAGAAGCACATTGGAAAGGGTGCGTGTGCCTGCACTGTGTGCACTTATGCACGTGTGTGCACAGAGGTGTGTACACACATGGGTGTGCACGCGTGCATTTGTGTGTGTGCATGAGTGTACACCGTGTGTGTGCGTGTGTGTGTGTGTGCAGCAAACTCAGCTCTTACCTGGCTGCTCCAGCCTCTAAGACTTCGCACATTGCGCTCCCTTCTGAGCTCATTCTGGGAGTCCCACGTGTCTCCTTTGGGCAGCTCCCAGCAGGCCTCAGCTCCTTCAGACGGCAGTGAAGCCAGAGGTGCCCGGGAGGACGTCTCCACTTCTTATTACCTGCTCATTAGCAGACAAGAGCAGGCAGCTCAGGGCTGGACAGGCTTCTGCCTTCTGTGAGCAGAACACTTTTTAAAGGATTTTTGGTTTCTGTGTGTGTTTAAAGGAAAGCTTAAACTAGGGCCCCTGCCCAAATACATCATAGTACAGCCCCTTTTTCCCCGCAAACTGAACTGAGATATTTCTATTCTAAGTAAACAGATTCCGAAGCCCACTTACCCCTCAAAGCCTGCTCGGCCAAGCCAAATGGCACTTACACACAAACTCTGGGGCCCAGGAGGCCTGCCACGCACTTCCATAAAGGCTAAACATGTTGACACAACAGAAAGTAGAACCTTAAAATGAAAAAAAAAAAATTACGGCTCCCTTGAAGACCTCACCCACCTCCCAGCCAGCCTCAGGATCAACTAACTATTTAACAACCTCTGATTGAAAAAAAATTATTTAATTACACAAGTAATACATATTTATTGTGAAAAATCAGCAAGTACAGATTTTTAAAAAATAACTAAAACCACTTCTCTTTCCTCCCTGATCATCAGCATTTTCAGAGAAGGGGCTGGGAGGCCTGGCTGGGTGATTATTTTTAACTTATTAGCCTCAGATTTATTTTTTCTTTTAAAAAGAGTAAACATTGTGTTCTGTCTTCTGCCAGGTATTTTTATCTGAATGGTTGATTAGGTAGATGGTTTGTTTTTGTTTGTTTGTTTTTGAAACGGAGTCTTGCTCTGTCACCCAGGCTGGAGTGCAGTGGCCGGATCTCAGCTCACTGCAAGCTCCGCCTCCCGGGTTCCTGCCATTCTCCTGCCTCAGCCTCCCGAGTAACTGGGACTACAGGCGCCCGCCACCTCACCGGGCTAGTTTTTTGTATTTTTTAGTAGAGACGGGGTTTCACCGTGTTAGCCAGGATGGTCTCAATCTCCTGACCTCGTGATCCGCCCGTCTCGGCCTCCCGAAGTGCTGGGATTACAGGCTTGAGCCACTGCGCCCCGCCAGATGGTTTGTTTTGTTACTGAAATGTCGTCAGTTGCATCTGCGGCTCACACCTGCTGTCCCTGCTCTAGTTCCCACTGAATGGCCAGCCTGGCTGCGAATTAAGTGTCCACGCACCTGCCTCCGCAGCACATCCTCGTGCCTGGGGCCGCCTCCTGCAGGGGCCCGGGTGTATTTCACCAACCCCCTCTTGCTGAAGGTGCATTCGTGAGGATGCCGCATGTCCGTATTGACACCGACGGATGGTCATGGTTTGCTGTTCAGTAAAAACAAACGCACAGAAGAGGGCTGTGCCCTGACCCCGTGCCACCTGCAGCCTGTGATTCCTAACCCTGTCCTGCCCCCTCTCTGTGCAGCACACGGCGGCGGGAGACGAAGGCGGCGGCCAGTCGCTGGTGTCACCGGGCAGCTGTCTGGAGGACTTCCGCGCCACGCCATTCATCGAGTGCAATGGAGGCCGCGGCACCTGCCACTACTACGCCAATAAGTACAGCTTCTGGCTGACCACCATTCCCGAGCAGAGCTTCCAGGGCTCGCCCTCCGCTGACACGCTCAAGGCCGGCCTCATCCGCACACACATCAGCCGCTGCCAGGTGTGCATGAAGAACCTGTGAGCCGGCGCGTGCCAGGAAGGGCCATTTTGGTGCTTATTCTTAACTTATTACCTCAGGTGCCAACCCAAAAATTGGTTTTATTTTTTCTTAAAAAAAAAAAAAAAAGTCTACCAAAGGAATTTGCATCCAGCAGCGGCACTTAGACCTGCCAGCCACTGTCATCGAGCGGGTGCAAGCAGTCGGGACCCCTGCAGGGCAAGCCCTGCCCATAGAAAGCCAGGAGCAACCCTGGCCCCGTTACCCCTGCTAGATGTACCGCCTGGAGGCACAGCTAACCACTTCGCACGCACCCATGTAACCACTGCACTTTCAAACGCCACAGACAACTCACATTGTTCAACTCACTTCTCGGGGTGGGACAGACGAGACAACAGCACACAGGCAGCCAGCCGTGGCCAGAGGCTCGAGGGGCTCAGGGGCTCAGGCACCCGTCCCCACATGAGGGCCCTGTGGGTGGGCCTGGCCCTGCTTTCTACACCAATGTTATGCCAGCTCTGTGTTCTCCCAAATACCGTTGATGTGAATTATCTTCAAGGCAAAACTGTGCTCTTTATTGTAAAAAACACTGATAATCACACAGCGGTCGGTCATTCTTTTGCCACATCCCTATAGACCATTGGGTTTGGCCAAACTCAGGCGGAAGTGGAGACCTTTCTAGGCGTCATTGTCAGCCCTGCTACTTGAAGGTACACCCCATAGGGTCGGAGGTGCTGTCCCCACTGCCCCACGTTGTCCCTGAGATCTAACCCTTCCACTGCTGGGGGTGAGCTGTGCTCTTCTGACTACCCCCTCCTGTGTAACGACTACAAAATAAAACTAGTTTTGAATATTTTTAAACCCCAAGTTGCTGACTGCCTTAATCTTACCGTGTTCACAGAGCAAAACGTTTGATGAATGCAAGGCACTGCCTCCACCCATGCTGCTGCTGTCCATCTCAGTAGAGTTGAACCCATTCGTGGTATTGCAGCCATTTCTCAGGGAATGTGTTTATGTTTATAACTCACTAATGCTTACAGAAAACACCCCAACCAGGCCAGGCGTGCTGGCTCACACCTGTAATCCCAACACTTTGGGAGGCCGAGGCAGGTGGATCACCTGAGGTCAGGAGTTCAAGACCAGCCTGGCTAACATGGTGAAACCCCATCTCTACTAAAAATATAAAAATTTGCCGGCGCCCATAATCGCAGCTACTCGGGAGACTGAGGCAGGAGAATCACTTGAACCCGGGAGGCAGAGGTTGCAGTGAGCTGAGATTGTGCCACTGTACTCCAGCCTGGGCAACAAAAGTGAAACTCCATCTCAAAAAAAAAAAAAAGAGAAAGAATAAAAACACCCCAACCAGCACTTGTGGGAATTTGGAGAAAGGGCACTTCACAAATGTATTTCCAAAGTCATTCAATTCGTTCCAACATAGGCTGGGTGCAGTGCCCCACATCTGTAATCCCAGTACTTTGGGAGGCTGAGGTGGGAGGATCACTTGAGCCATAGGAGTTTGAGACTAGCCTGGACAATATAGTGAGACCCCATGTCTCCAAAAAAAAGTTCCCACATAACTTCCCAAGTCAAAGCTCAAGTCAAAGAAACAGTCTCCGAGATTCAGCTCACAGAGTTTGACTCTCTGAAATGCAAGCTCAGATTGAAGTTTTCCTAAGAAAAATGTTCACATTATGAAATAAGTATCCTACCTTATAATGTTACTTGAAACAGATAAACAGCTGCCGTAGCTCATGTTCCCCCAGAAGCTGGCTGAGGCCAGGACCTCTACAGAGCAGGGCTATGTGGGAAGGTGATTTCAGGAAGCCTGAGTGGGACCTGGAGGGGGAGAAACCAAGAATAAGAAAAGCCAACTCAAGGATGTGAGACTAAGGGGGTTACCACTGTGGATGGTTTAGGCTTGATCCTGCTTGGGATCCACCAAGGAAGGAGCCTCAGATGGTCCAGCCATGGCTTGGAAAGGGAAGTGTTCTCCATCAGCTGTGGTCTTGACTGGTCGGGGGTTGCCTGAGGGTGTTAATTCCCTCACACTCCCGGGTGCGCCACACACCACGGCTAAGCGGGCTCCTGCCAGATGCCAGGTAGAGGTGGTAGAGGACCAGGCAGAGCTGAGACACGGTGTGTCAGGCCACACCTGCACGTGGCCGGTCACCACGGCAATAGCTGCAGCAAAACGGTGGGCCCAGAGCGTGTGAGACGGAGATCAAGAGACCAGAGCTTGCAACCACAGCAACTCTAGAAGCTGGGAAGCAGCAATTCATTCTAGACTCCACCCCCACTGCCAAGGAGGCAACCACAAAGTATGCTGCGGTCCTGAAGACCCCTGCCCGACTGGGGTAGGCTGGATACCTTGTGTGGCGGTCACACTTCAGCGTCAGTACCCAGTGTTAAACATCAAAGAAATGTTTCACCCTAGACCTAAAATACATGAGAAGACGAAGATCCTCAACACAATTGGTTTCCAAAATGTGGATTATAAAATATAAACCAATCACAATTCATAACCCCGACATCTGTGCCAAGGAGCCCACGATCCCGCTGAAGTATAGCGAGTGGAGATGCCTCATCTGGAATCGAACCATTGGCTATCCCACACCTTGAAAATCAGAGCTCTGCCCTTCATGGACCCTGCATGTTGCATAAGACCGATTTTTCCAGGCTAGTTGCTTGGTGCCAGGAATAACGGCCCCCTGAGAGCTGAGCGTGCTTGAACCATCATCCACTAATGATGTGCCACATTTTCCAGAGGGTGGGTGCCCCAAAGTCAGAATCACTTCTGCCTCCCAGCTGCTTCAGACAGTGACTTTCAGCACCCCAGGCAGAGATGCTGCTGGAATGTGCATAAAGATGCATGTGCAGCCATCCTGACTGGGTAGGGGTACCCAGAAGATTCACAAGCCCCTGGAGAGCACATCAGCCTTTAATCCACCCAAGAAGAGCAAGTTGGCAAGGAGGGCCTGGATGGGTTGCTTCAGTGAGCCGGGCCGCCGGTAAAATCAGTCAAAGCACCTGTGCATCAGAGTGACGTCAGGAGAATCAGATCAGTCACTACACGCGAACGTGCCTAAGCTGCAGGCATGTATGCACTCGTACGTGTCCAGGACCTAAGAGGAAGGAGGTAGAGAATTGCTGCAACTTGGGAGTTCTAAATGTGTTGAGGTTGAGCACTATGATTTCAAATGCACAGTGCAGGGAAGGGAGTAGAATGATTTGGAAAGTAAATTCCACGGCATGCTAGACATGGGAGGGAAGGGTAACACGAGCTACCAGGAGGATCTTAAAGTGACAGACCAAACCCAAGCAGATGTCTTGAAGGCAACGAGGGAACAGCATCCTCACCTCCCACACGTGGTGCAGCAAGAACTTCAGTCTGCAGACTCAGGAAGCCACCACGCTACAAATATCTAGGAGCTGTTTGTATTCATACAGCGTAAGTTCAGCTCAGACAATAAAATGTCAGCCTGTCCTCCCCCTCCCCGCTGAGAAATGCTCAGTGTTTCTGGTTACACCTGGAGGTGGCTTTTCCTTGAGGCCGCCTTCCTGGAAAAGGGCCATCCCCTTATTTAAAAAGAAAACCCTGCAGAGGTTTCAGGAGCTCACTGAAGCCAGTAGGGGAAAGGTGCTGTTAATAATATAAGTAATTTGGAAATGAGTGGCGTCTCTAAGACCAAAGGCAAAGAGAACTGCACACAGCATTGTACTCTAGTGGATGAAGTTGTTTCTTGCAGGAGTACTGGTGAACGGTGCTGACACCACATTCATGCTAAAACTGAACCATCGGTTGGGCACGGTGGCTCACGCCTGTAATCCCACGACAGAGACTCTGTCTCCAAAACAACAACAACAACAACAACAACAAAACTGAACCATTAATTAAGTGGATGGTCGGTGGGAGCCATGTTTCTTATTGGAGGAGAATTTACAGCAATGTGGGAAAATGACACAATGATTAGAGTCAGAGACATCAGAAGAACTCAGGTTTAGCCTATTATAGACACCTATAGTCACATAAAGAAATATCTGTAGGTATGTGTACATATAGGGGTAGGTGTGTGTACATATAGGGGTGGCTGTGTGTATATATAGGGGTAGGTGTGTGTACATATAGGGGT